CTTTCTTTCTTTCTTTCTTTCTTTCTCTCTTTCTTTCATTTTTAGTTTGTTTTTTTTTTTCGAGACAGGATCTCACTGTGTAGCCCTGGCTGTCCTGGAACTCACTCTGTAGACCAGGCTGGCCTCAAACTCTGCCTGCCTCTGCCTTCCGAGTGCTGGGCTTAAAGTCGTGCACCACCACTGCCCAGCTGCTTGTCATTTCTTGGTCACACCACCCTAGGTGGCTGCAAATATAGCAGATGAGACAGTGGGGCTAGGCTCTCTGGTAGGAGGAGCAAACTTGTGACCTCTGGAAGCAGATGGAGCAAAGGGGGAGGGAGGGAGGGAAGGAGGGAGGGAGGGCTGCTCCCAGAGCTTAGTCATTTAGCTGGCCTGAGAAGAGCAGCAGTGGCTCACCCTTCCTCACAGTCAGGTATGGCCACTCGTGGGGATCTCCTTGGACCTGCTCTTCCTGGCTGTGTTTCAGAACTGTCTCCTCATTGGATGGATGACCTTGGCCAAGTGGCTGACACCAGCTTCATTAGGGTATCCTACCTGCTCCCTGTACAAGAAGGGTCTTGTGGACCTTGGGGCAGGGAGACGAGGTCCAATGACATTTGTCAGGTGTTCAAATATAAGACTCTGAAACTACACATGGCCTTCCCCTGGGATCTCTGTAAGATGTCACCCTGGACCGTCTCCTTGGAGGGAGTGATGACCTCTTGCTGAGCGGACCCCAAGCCAGCCTCTGGCAGTCAACCTCTCAACCGTGCTTAAGCCTGTGCTTCAGTTATTTCAGAGCTAGAAACATCCCAGAAAGTAAGAAAGCTACTGTGGGAAGTCTTTCCTGGGGTCCAGCTTTAATCCTTGTCCCAATACTTCATTCCATGGCCATTTGTAGAGACCCTACATCACACCAGGAGATGCAGCCTAGGCTCAGGGGGACATAAAATACCCTAGGGACCAACCTACAAGTCAGGAACTGCCACAGGCCATAGTGAATGCCACACAAGGACGCCTTCCCTCACTTCCCATTTACAAGAATATGAAAAGTCACCATCAGATTTGGGGTGAGGGGGAAAGAGACCACTGGAGGTGTCCCCACCCCACCCCTGTCAGCTGTCTCTTGAGTCAGCATGGCCTGCCTGAGGCTCCCAGGCCTGGCAGAGATGGTCATGGAGAGTCACCTAGAGCTATGTCTGGGGAGGGAGCAGCAGAGAGTGTGCACTTGGATCTGGTCATGGCTAAGCTTCCAGTGTGTGGGACCTGGAAGGGGCCAGTGTCCTGTCTGCTCTGTGTTCAGGGCACTGGTGACACTGGTTCTGAAGCAGGGGGTAGAGACGTGGCCAGATTGGGGTGCAGAGCTAAGGCTCAAGTCAGTCATGTGAAGAAGGGCAGGATCTGGGGGCTCTTCACAGACACCTGTGGAAACCCTTTGCCAGCAAAGAGAGTGCCAAGCCAAAGGTTCCCTGGGTAGTGACAGTGCATCTTACAGCCCCTAGGAGTCATTCATGCTGCAGGCAGCATCATCTCTGTTACCTTGCGCCCTTTTAATGGCTGCTCCTAGAACCTTCCAGAAAGCTGGAGCTCCCAGATCTCCAGTGCACAATCAGCAGCACTGGTCTACCCTAAGCACAGCTGCAACCTTTGGCTGAAGCTTCCAGGAGGGAGAGACAGAGTGGTCCTCTAGACACCCTGTCTCCCTGGCCCACAAGAGATAACCTCATTCCAGCTGACAGCCAAGATGAGGCTCTCTGTCTCAGACCCCTGGGACTGGGCCACCAGGGAAAGCGAACAGGAGGGGGTGCATGCCATTTGTGGGGATGGCAGTTATTAGGACCCTTTGGTACTGAACCTTGTCCTCCAGATTCCAAGTTCTCAAGGACTGGTGGCTCCAAGATATATACTGGACAAATGTCACCTCCTGTAGAGGTGTTCTGGGAGGCTCTTGTGTCCCTCCTCAGGCAAAGCCCACTTAGCTTTCCTTTAGACAATGGCTTACTTTTTTTTTCATTTTTATTTATTTTGTGTGGTGCTGTCACAGCACATGTGTAGAGGTTCAGAAGACAACTTTTAGAAGCCAGTTCTTCCTTCCTCCTTTGCATGGGTTCTTGAAATTGAACTCAGGTTGTCAGGCTTACCGGCAAGCCCCTTTACCTGCTGACCACCTCCCAGGCCCTGCCGAGGGCTTCAGAGTGAGCCACTGCTGCTGACCCCTATTGCAGGGATCAAAGACATCCCTTAAGCTGGGAACATGCAAGCCTTCAACCCCATCTCCGAACTCCAGCTTCCGGTTCCTTCTAGGCGCTATGCCTTGTCCTTGGGAGGCTGTGTCCTCCTCCTCCTTGTGTGTGAAGGCTGGGGTGCACCTTGCTCTGCCAGGCCAAAGACTCATTAATAAGCCCCAGCCCAAGGCACCGTGCTGGCTGCCTAGCCCAGGTCCCTTATTATCTTGGGCGATTTCTCTGCGAGGCACGTAAGCCGCAGCCTATAAAAGCGAACAGCTCTTCATCTTTAAGGTTGATCTCTGAAGACTAATTCTCCTCCAGAAGTGAACTGCTCCTTCTTTGAGCTCCCATGCCACACTGGCTCCAAGGGACCCTGCAACTCCCTCCGCCCCCTCCATCTCTGCCTCCTCTGTCCCCACTCCCCTGGGAGGATGTGTGCCCAATCCATCAGGATGAAGTCCTGGAGATGTTGAACCTCCCCATCCCCCGAGCTGGCTGGAGGACCTTAATGCTACAAAAATCAGAGGACACAGCTTGGAGATGCTCAGGGCAAGGTGTCTCCTGATGGCCCAGAAGCCGGTGTAACAGGCATTTAGCTGCCAACATAGCTTTGTCCCTGAATCCCCAGCTTGCTTTTCAGGGAAAGAATGTTGGAAGACATTCAACCCATGGCCACCCGGCCCCCAGTTGTCTTAAGACATTCTCCCCATCCCTTTCCCCCACCATGTCACTTTGCAACTGGGTCTTTGCTCACTGGGCCTCAGTTTCCACATCTCCAAAATGAGTCCAACCACAGCCTTTACAGCAAGCAAGACTTGCTGCGGGCTTCAGGGGCAGGGATGGCGACCAGAAGGTTCCCTGCAGGCTGCTGGCCAGCCTGGGCTAAAGGGCTTGGTTCAGTCTGGGGTTGCTCCGTTCTGTGTGTGCCATCATGGAGAGGAGGTAGCCCCATCTCAGAATCAAAGACTCTAGCTCTGCCAGGAAGTCCTGAGGCTCTGTGGTGCCATCCCAGCTTGTCCCAAAGGCATGGCCTGGCCCACCTGCTTTTCCTGCCTCCATCTATATCCATCCACTTCACAGGTGAGGGTGGACTTACCTGTGCCCACTGGTCAGACTGGGCATGGAGCTAGGGGCCAGGTCAGGTTTCAACCCCATGACTTACCAGGTCCTGGACCCCCAGAAACTTTGTCTTCTGCCTTTGTCAGAGTTCCAAAGGAATCATGCCTACACCAAGGCTGAGAATCAAGTCTATAGACACAAGCAACCCTGGAGCAGACACAGGGTCTGAGCCCCTGCTGATGCCTCCACTGGAGTGGCCCAGAGCCTGGCTTAAGGGATGTCCTGTGAGTGGAAAGATGATGAAATCTGTCTTGAGATGCCCATCAAGAGGGAGTCCCTCCAAGCTGGGGAGAGAGGAAGAAGCAGTCAAGGAGGGCTTCCTGGAGAAGGCAATCCCTTTGCCCTCAGCCTCTGCTGCCAAGAGATTCAGGAGATGGTGTTTGGATTTATGGGAGAAAAGCAGCTTGCTTTACTGCTTTCTCAGTAGTAAAAGCAGTGGGTGTTTTCTATACGGCCAGGAAAGCAAGCCAGCAATCGGCTACACCCAAAAGGTCTTGTCGTGTGTGAGAAAGGGAAGGTGTCCTCCCAATGTGGAGGACACGGGGAAATAACACTCTGGGTGGAAGATAAAAACCACCTCCAGATGCTCTGCGCACATTGATCATGAGATAATAAAAGCCACTAATATTTATTGCAGAAGTGTAACGTGCCCGGCACGGCTCCAGGGGCTTTAATATACTAATTCAGTTAAAGAGGTATCTCCAGTTCAGGAAGCTGGGGGACAGTGTGTGGGAGAGAGTTGAGATTTGGTATAAAGGTGCCTGCCCTCCCCAGAAAGCGGGGACACAGATCCAATCAGAATGCTGTTTCTAATTGGCTGTGTGACTCTGGGCAGGTCCTTGCCTTCTCTGGGTTTCTATTTTTTCCATGTATAAATATTCAGGGGCGATGAGTGACTTGGTAGAATGAGTGGGTCCCCAAGGCCTTTGTTGCTACACAGTCATGGCACCATCTTAAATTACAAGTGACACTCTGGCTTTGGTGTCAGTTGTTACTAAGCCCCTGTTAGGACAGCTTGTGCACGGCCCCATCCTTATAGCGACAGCTCTACCCGTTTTGTCCCTTGCAGCTACATATTGCCTGCTTGGGGAGGCACAGTGCCTGCATTCCCTCAGCCCTTCTCCACAGTGGCCTCAGAGATCCTCTGCCTGCTGTCTGACCTTTGTCCAGTCAGGGCCCTGCTCTAGGAAGAGAGCAAGGTAGAGAGATAGCTCCAAGCAGGGGTGAGGAAGGAGTGTTCTCTCTGTCTGTCCTCTCTGTCTGTCCCTCCCCTGCCCCAGCCTCTTCGCTCTCCCTGCCTCTGTCTCTCTGACCCTGGGCTGCGTACAGCTTTCTTTGGGGTCTCTTGCCCTCCCAGCCTCTTGAGCCTCCCTGGGCACAAACTGGCCTCTAATGCTTTCCTTCCTTTCTCCTGTCTGTCTGTCTGTCTGTCTGTCTGTCTGTTTGTCTGTCTCTGCTATGTCCTGGGCTGATCTACAGCGAGCAAGCTGCAGTTACGTCCTGTGCACGGTGCTCCTGTCCCTTGCAGTGCTGCTGGCAGTGGCCGTCACTGGTGTGGTTCTCTTCCTGAACCATGCCCACGCACCAGGCACGGCACCCCCACCCATCGTCAGCACGGGGCCTGCCGGAGCCAACAGTGCCTTGGTCACTGTGGAGAGGGCTGACAGCTCCCACCTCAGCCTCCTCATCGACCCCCGCTGCCCCGACCTCACTGACAGCTTCGCCCGCCTGGAGGGCATCCAGGCCTCCATCCTTCGGGCACTGAGTGAACAGCAGGCACAGCCTCGGCTGGATGGTGCCCCCGAGCTGCTGGATGCACTGGCTGACCAGCTGCCCCGGCTGCTGGCCCGGGCCTCTGAGCTACAGGCCGAATGTTCTGGGCTGCGCAAGGGACACAGCCTGCTGGGCCAGGGCCTCAGCACCCTGCAGAGTGAACAGGGTCGCCTCATCCAGGTGAGGGTAGGCTCTACATATGCCTTGTTTGTGCGTGGTGCGTGTATGTGTGTGCACGTGTGTGTGTATGTGCATGCGTGCGTGTGTGCGTGTGTACCTGTGTGTGTGTGTGCCTTGATTTGAGGGGTGGGGTCACTGGTACCCTGTGCTGAGTGCGTAATATCACTAGGTAATACCCTAAGTCTTCCAACCTGGGCCTTCCTTGTTCATTCATTTGTGAAGGGTTGTGTTCTCACATCCATGACCAGTATCCCAACACCCCCTCACTCCTGCACCCCCTACCCCCTACCCTTCACCCCCACCTCCACATTCATGGTAATTCTGTAGCCTTGTAGACCCAAGGCTAGAGGGGTTTCCCAGGCTGACTGAGAGGCTATGAACTGTAAGCAAGGTGGGCATTGCCTCCCACCCACCTCTGCACCCCCCATGCATTTACACCCCTTCCCCCAGTCGTTATCTGCAAACTGATGTGAGGAGGCTTGAGGCTTGCTCTAGGTCTATCATATGACAGCCCAGTGTTCTCCTGGAGGGGTGCAGCACCCCTGCTTGACACTGCTCTATTCTGAGCTGCCCATAGCTTTGCTAGGGGTGCTGTGCCATTGTGGGGAACCCAGCCAGATGCTTGGCCTCGCAACTCCTCCTCCCTCCCCTCCCCTGGATCCAGCCAGGTTCCTTCAAGGATCTAGTGGAGCTAGGGGAAAGGTTTTGGCTTTGGCTCTGCCATCAGGCTCACGGCACCAGCTGGAAGCTCTCCTTTAGGAGGAGGGGTTCGGGACTGTCTCCTTTGCTTCTGCCAGAACAAAAAAAATGGAGGCCTGGAAAGTAGCTCTGGAGTATCATGGGTACCACGGCTAGATCAGGCCTGAAAGCAGAGCCTGGAGTAGCTTGCCCAGCCTCCAGCCCTGGGCCGCTTTACTGTCTGACTCAGCTTAGCACTGAAGTCAACCTCCACCCAACTGGCTAGCACAGCTGTTTCTATATGTCCCTCATTTGGGTACCCAAGGTGACCAGGCATTTGGTCACCCATAGCTCATGAGCAGTGGCCCTCTTCCCTCTCTTTGAAGGCTGCAGCTGGAGAAATTACAGCCTTTGTCACCCTGTCTGGGTGACTGACGGGGTGATGGGTCCCCTGGGCTGGGGGGACATACAGCCAGCTTCCTGCAGCCCCTCCTCCCAGGCCCATCAGCAGGACAGATTGCCAGGCTCCGGGTGACACAGAGGCCCTGCTCTGCCTTCCCTGAGCTCAGGCTTGGTCAGCTGAGGCTCACTACAGAGGTCCCCTGTGAGCTGTGATGTCCCCCCATGAAAGGCAAGATGGATAGTGTCCCCAGTCTCTAGTGCAGCGACCCACCTGGTTCAGGACCATCCAAGACGTTATCTGCCCATCTGCATCATTCAGAGACAACAAGCCAGGTCTACCCCATCTTGAAGCTTCTTCCCTTGGCAAAGGCACAAACCTGAGGTTCTGTTTGCAAAGCCATGGTTGTCAGAGGTTGCTCACTGGCTCAGCTTAGGTTAGCAGTTCAGTCTGTTGACTTGAGGCTACAGTGTAGGATCCATCTTGGCTTTGGGCAATCTTGGGCGGACCACATCCCCTCTCTAGGTAGGTTCTTTCCACTTGTAAAATGGGGTAACAGGCCAAGCCCGTGGGGATACTGGTATTCCTGACTGTGTAGGCTCAGTGGGCCTCTAGCATGTTAGAGACACACACTCTCTGATCCATATGTTAGACTTCACATGGGGACCATCACTGAAAACCCTTTGTGAGTGGAAGCAATGATCCACCTGTAGGCACATTTCAATGCAGTTACCCCAGGGGCAGGTGCCTTTGTCACCCACTCTGCAGAGGGGCAGACTGAGGCTCAGTGGGGAAGGGCTTGGTGGAGGCCTGTCCACTGCAGAGCATCGCTGGAAGCAGCTGCCCTGATTTCACGGCCTCTGGTTGCCGCCAGCTTCTCTCGTGATGGGTTGCGCGGCTCAGCGAGCAGGGACTGACTCTCTATTAATTCGGGGCAGGTTTATATGTTTCAGTGGTAATCATTTGCTAGTTTAAACTGAGGTCTCCTCGGCCTGCCAGGGAGAGGGAGGGGCTGCGCCTGAGCTGTTGAATGTCACAGTCATGGTGACTCAAAAGGATGGGCTGTGTGGTGAGATTTACCAAGGGGTCTTTGCCACCCCCTCACCTCGCCTGTGTCCCCACAAGGGCTCCATGGAGCCTGACCGAAGGTCACTGTGGTGGGTTCCTGCAGCCCACTGTAGTTCTCCTGGAGAACTGAATCACCTGCTCAACAGATAGGAAACCAACGGGGCCTAGTGCTTCACAGGGCCCTGCCTTCGGACGAGCTGAGAATCACGTTTTGTAAACTGTTGGCTGGCTGGGTGTATTTCTCTCTCTTTCTCCGATGAGCTATTATCTGGCAAGTGACAGGTTCGGTGAGCAAGACCTAGCTTGTTTTATGCTGTCAGCTGCCTGCTACCTCCCCCCCCCCCCCGCCGCTGGGTCCTATACCCTCCTGAAACCCAGGGTGAGGAGACAGAAGACCCCCAGACCCTTCCAGCAGCCAGCCTAGTAAGACACCCCTGGAGATCTATGCTTCTCTGGTGTGCTCTGACCCATGGACAGTGATGGAGGGGAAGATGGGAGGGGGAAGTGCTACCTCACATGGCCGGAGTCTTATGGAGAGCAGGTGATAGTGACAGTGCCCTCATCCTGGCCTGCAGATAGGACAGGGAGGGTGTCACACGGCCACAACCCACTCAGAGCACAGCCTGGCCCCACCCACACCTGGTGTGGCCATAGGGCGGTTGTACCCTTCCTTCCCTGCCACTCATCTGCCTTGAGGAGGTGGCATGAATTCTGATTCCCCTGTGGGTCTACCCGCACCGGGTTGGGGTCAGGGGTGGGGGATGGGGATTCTCCTTCTGGGCTTCCAATTCCCTCTTGGGACATGGAGGTAACAATCGCAAGTCTTTGCCGTGCTATGGAGTTGATGTACAGCAGGCTTCTATGGAGACTCCCCACGTTGTTCAAATGGGGGTGGGGTGGGGAAGGGAGCAGGGGACATCCTTGTTTGGGGCCCAGTTTGAAGCCAGCAACCTGTACCCAGGCTCTACGCTCTTTCCAATACTCAGGTTCGTTTGCTCAGGTGCAAGGACCACCCCTGCTTAGCCTCCTCATGTGGAGGTCTTAGAGGAGACAGTAGGTGGTATGTGCTATAGCCAGGAAGGTAAAGCGAGGGCCCTATGAGGCCTGATGCCATGTTGGTGTGACATGCTAGGGTGCTGTACTGGTGTGCCATGCTGGTGTGCCGAGCTGGGGTGCCGTGCTGGGGTGCTGTGCTGGATGCCATACTTAGTGGGTAGAGTGCTTGCCCACGAAGCAGGAAGCCCCAGACTGGGCTCCCAGCACTGTGTATACTGTATGTGGTTGGCACTAGTCTATAATTTCCACACTGGAGCACCAGAGGTTTAAAGTCAACCTGAACCACATGACACCCTGTCCCAGGAGAAGAATGACGATGGCTTCAGGAGGAACTGGTTGGTGGGTAACTCATGCTGATGCCTGTTGTTGCCTTTCCCCGTACTGTCCCTATCAGCTGGGCTGGATGAATAAAAGCTTCCACCTGAGCCCTTGCCCTCTGAACCCCTGAGAGCCCCACTGACCCCTCAAACTGCCGCAAACATGACCCCGAGGTCAGAGCAAGCCTTTTCCAGAGCGGCCTCTGCAGGCCCATGCCCACTCTAAGGCCTCTGTGCTCCGTTCGCAGCTTCTCTCCGAGAGTCAAGGTCACATGGCTCACCTGGTGAACTCAGTCAGTGATGTCCTGGAGGCTCTACAAAGGGAGCGGGTGCTAGGCCGACCCCGTGTCAAGGCTGACCTGCAGAGGGCGCCTTCCCGGGGAGCCCGGCCTCGAGGCTGTGCTAATGGTGAGTGAGACATGCTTTCTCTGAGTGGCTCTGGTACCCAGCTCCAGGGGGACGGAGGGTCGTAGTGAGGGCTGCCTTCTATCTTCTACCACCTGTCCCTCGACTCTCTTAGACAAGGACGAGCTGCTGCTGTAGAAAAGGGACTTCCTGTGGCCAAGCAACTCAACCTGACCTGTTGAGCTGTGAGCCCATTTTCCAGATGAGGAAAGCAAGTCCTCGAGGATTTACCTGGGACTGAGGGCTTGTGCTCTTGACCTCCGGTGGAGAGACTTGTCAGAGATTTCCAGGGACCTTTTCGGAGGCAAGGGATGACAGAATGTAGTGTCTGGGAGACCATCACCTTGATGTGGTTCCTTGTCACAGGCTCTCGGCCACGGGACTGCCTGGATGTTCTCCTGAGTGGACAGCAAGATGATGGTGTCTACTCGGTCTTCCCCACTCACTACCCAGCTGGCTTCCAGGTCTACTGTGACATGCGCACTGATGGCGGAGGCTGGACGGTGAGTCTGACTTGTGCATTCATCTGCAGAGGTAGCCTGCCCAGCACTCTGCCTAGTTCAAACTCCACCCACTCCCTGTAGACACCTAGTGAGTGTGCCCTCGGGGATCAGATGCCTCATAAGAGGCGCCATTGCTCTTAAGCCTTGGTTCTCTGGCTGTGCTGTGGTGTTGGGTGAGGCCTTGGGATGGAGAAGTTCCAGGGACTTGACTCTTCTTTATCTACCCAGAGTAGGTAGGCACATGTAGAGGAAGGAAGGGGCTCTCAGATCCCTGCACCGCCTGATGCCTGCCTGACTGGATGGTAGGAGAATGAGATTCTATCAGGAATCGAGGATGGAATGGCCACAGGTACCCTGAGGCTCCCCTGAGCTGGGGTAGCTGGTGCATCCAGCAAACTAGACCTGAGCAGTTGTCTGCAGAGCACCAGGCAGGAGATGTAGGCTTGGGTTCAGCAAAGGCGCTGACATCTGCAGGGGCCTTTGTAGGGGAAATAAGACAAAAAGGAGACAGACTGACTGTCTCACTGAGATTTGAACTTAGGAGAATATTCACACTTTCTTCAGTATTATTCAGAGGGTATCGAACAACAGGCAGCAGGCAAGAGTTATCCCCTGCCCCGTGGCTCTGTCCTGGGCTAGAGCTGGGGCCGCTGTAGCAAGAGAGTTTGCAATTCCTTCCCACACCGGTAGGTTCTGACCCTCTCACGAGCGAGCTCCCAGGCTCCTTGGACGTTGACTATTGTGTGTAATTTAAAAAGGCAAATCACAGCACTCGGGAGGGAAAGGCAGGCGGTCTCAGAGTTCGAGGATAGCCTGGTCTACAGAAGGTGTTCCAGGATAGCCAAGACTGCATGGAGAAACTCTGTCTCAAAAACAAAACATAAGCCGGGCGGTGGTGGCGCACACCTTTAATCCCAGCACTTGGGAGGCAGAGGCAGGCGGATTTCTGAGTTTGAGGCCAGCCTGGTCTACAGAGTGAGTTCCAGGACAGCCAGGGCTACACAGGGAAACCCTGTCTCGAACCCCCCCTCCAAAAAAAAACATAAATAAAAAACCAAATCCCTTCTTCCTTTGTGCAGAACAAAGTGCTGGACTTGGCTGGAGGAAATCCTTGCTCTGTTCATCAGGTTCCCTTGAACAGCAGACATGTTTGAGCACCTACTGTGTTCTGTGGTGGACCTTGGAAGTATACAGATGAGGAGGCTCCTCGGGGATTTAAGTTGGAAGTTGCTGTGGCCTTGGGGGGCAGCCTGGGTTGGGAGGGTGTGAGCCCAGGCAGTGTAGAGCAGGTGACCTCTCAGGGCACAGCCAGCTGGGGCCTGTGACTGTGAGGTGAGGCTGGAGTTGGAGACAGGCACTGAGTGAATGGAATGAGGCTTCAGCAGTGGTCTGACTGTGTGCTCTTGGGCAGAGCTGAGACACTCACTCTTAGGTGTCTGCGGATACAAGTGGAGTTCAGCTGACAAGGCTAGCCCCTCTGCTTAGCAAGCACTGGGGCCCAGAGGTCAGAGTTGGGCTCCTGCATCCATCAATGGATCTGGCAATGATGCGATGTTTGCTGTGTGATCTTATGTAAGTTACTTAAGTTCTCTGAGTCCCAGTTCTTCACACGCTTGTTTCTTAATCTTAACTCTGTGCACTGTGTGTATCTATGCAGGTGTATGCACATGAGTACAGGTGCCTTTGGAAGAGGGCATCAGACGCTCTGGAGCGAGAGTTACAAACAGTTATGAGCTACCTGGTATGAATACTGGGACTCAAACTCAGGTCCCCTGTGAGAGCACTACAGGCTCTTAACCACTGAGCCGTCTCTCTGGCCCCATCAGTGGAGCTTTTAAAGACGAGTACCAGAAAGTGGTTGACAGGGACACGAAGAACTTAGTGGAGTGAGACGGAGGCTGGAGACTGTGAGTCACGGTCACTTAGCCAGGACCATCCTTCCAGGCTGGAGTAGGAATGGTGTGAGCTCCTGTGTCCCAGTGTCCCATGTTCCAGGCCACTGCCACTGAGTGCTACATACTGTGGCTTTGAAGCTGCCCAGACAGTAACTCAAAGTCACCTCTCTAGATGGGGTGGAGTCACAGCGCTGTGCTGGAGCCTGGCATTTTAACATTCAGGCTGTGATAGACCTGCACTCAAGCCAAACCTGAGCCAAGACCACGAGCTAAGAAGATATCATTTATTAGTCAGCAGAGTGCATGCCCCACACACGATAGCCAGGGATGATGCCCAGCTCCCGTGTAAAAGCTGTGTCTGGCTACTTGAGCCTGTACCCCAGCTCTGGGGAGGTTGAGACAGAACCCTGTCTCTAGCAAATAAGGTGGGGTACCATTGAAGAAGACACCAGAGGCCAACCTGAAACCTTCCCAATCGCAGGTACTCATACTTACATGTGCACGCACATACACGTGCACACACACATACATTTCTTTCTTTCTCTCTTTCTTAATTTCTTTCTTTCTTTCTTTCTTTCTTTCTTTCTTTCTTTCTTTCTTTCTATTTATTTATTTTTGAGACAAGATCTGTCTATGTAGTTCTTGCTCAGAGATCCACCTGCCTCTGCCTCCCGAGCGCTGGGATCAAAGGTGTTTGCTGTCACCCGTGACTCACTCACAGTTTTAAAAAGAATTGCAAAGTCCACTTCTGAGCCTCCTGGTCCGCTCTGACTTGGAAGCCAATATTTTACCAGGAGCCTGCTCAGATATTTAGCCCCACCTCACCTTGTTCTTCAGGAAGGGAAGAGCATTGCTTGGTCCTGTGAGACAGAGTGTGACCAGGCTGCCACTCTTCCCGTCTCTGACCTGGCGTCACACCGGGTGCCTCCGTTGCTTACCTGAGACCCCTGGCATTGACTATTTTTGGTGTTTGATGTCTAGGCCAATGGACATCCAAGAGAGATTTTTAACGCCAGATAAAGCTACAAAGCAGAAGGGTAGGAAGTGTTTCCAGAGAGCACCTGGGACTTGTAGAGCAGGCAGCGTGTGAGTCTGAGTCGGCTTTGAAAGGGGTCGATGTCCCCAGCAGAGGGGATGGAGCTGGAGGGGGGGGCGGTCAGAGTGAGTGAGGAACAGAGCAAAGCCTGCAATTAGGAACCAGTCTGAGTGCAACCAAGGATCCCCAGAGACCCCGAAGATGGACATATCTCAAAACTTGTCTTCGGGTTCTAGGGGAGAGCTTTTAAACGTACCGGATCCGTGTCAGGGTTAAAAGCTCTTTTGTTTTTCTAACTGCAAAGAGGCTGAGTTATGGCCTTTGCCTCTGGGATCCCTAGGCAGGCAGACATCCAGGAGCCCTCCCCCTCCAGGCCCAGAAATCAGAATTAAGGGTTAGGAGGGCTTGGTGCCTGGCTGAGGCTCCTCCCCTGCAGCACATCTGTCTTCCACCCAGGCTGACTGGACCCAATCTTCTGGGGAGTCAGTCAGTGTCTGGGCCTGGGTAATTCCTATGGCCTTGGCTTCAGGGACGATTAACCGGGATGGGTAAGGAACAATGCCCAGCTTAGACCTGACGCCCCTGCGCCTGAGTGGGGGCATTGCGAGAGAGGCCAGAGTGGTCTGCAAAGTGCTTGCGTGGTTGGGAAACGTTCATATCCATTTGGCTTCTGTCTGAAGCAATCTTCCCCTAGATGCCCGCAGGCACCTGTCAGGATCACCCCCTCCACACACACACAGACTCTCCTGGATGTTCAATTGTTGTTTGGGAAGGTTCTGGCCTCTCTCGGCCCATCTGTCCTCATTAGGTTCCCCGTCAAAACCACCCAGCTTCAGGCACCAACACTGCATGGTCCTCCCCACATGGTCCTCCCCAGCGGACTGGATGCTGTGCTGGGCCTCAAGTCCCTTAGTGAGCTCCTCCATCACAGCAAGCCTCCTAGAGACTGGAGTGGACAGGACTGGGCTCAGCCCGAGAGGCTCTTTGTAGTCTGAATACCGCTTCCTGCCTGGCATTGCCCTGTGCACCTTCTATTCCCAAAGGCTGGCAGGGCATCCTGGAGAGGGCAAGAGGGTTGCCTCTGCTACCCAGTCAGCCTGGCCAGGGAAAGTCCAGGCCTTCTGAGGCAAGTCAATGCAATTAATTGCTACTGAACAATTAATTGAGCGTCAGCCACAGGGAGCCATCTGGGACCGAGGCAGAGTAGCAAGCTCTCAGCTGAGAGGGCAGAAGGACAAGGTTGCTGGCTTGTGTCAAGCCTGAGGGTCACTGGAGAGGCCCTGATCTTAGTCTAGAGACCTGGTGATGGTGGACAGAGGGGCTCAGTGTGGGGAGTAGGAAGGCTCGTCCTGGACTAAGGCTGGTTCGTATTGCTGACCCATTCTGGTATAAGAGTGTCTAAGTCAGGGGTCAGTGGGCAGCGGAACCTTTGGGTTACGGGCCCATGGAGTTGGTCGCCTTCTGGGGCCTGAATGAATTCTCTGTACCACAGAGTTTCCATAGGGAGGGGTGATCCTGACAGGCAGGGTGAAGGGGTGTGGTGATTGTGAAATAAAACTCTGAAGCATGAATTCCATGGACCCCGAGTCCTTGCTTCTAGAAATGGGGGTGTCATATGGGAATGATGCCACTTGGTCTTGTTTGCTATTGGATAGACCTCGGAGGCAGATGGATAGATGCTTCAAGGTGGCTTTCAGCCTCGATTGGCACCTGACCGTGACTAAGCCAAAACCTTTGCTGTCCCACACTCACCGCAGGCTCATACAAGCCAGGCCAGAAAAAGACCTCACATGAGGAGCAGGGCACAGGAAGGGATGTCGGGACACGGCTGAACTTTGAACTTGACACGTGTCCCTTCTCTAGAAAATGAGAAAAGGCAGCCATGATGATCTTGTGACCCAGACCAGAGACCTTCCTCACTGGGTATAGACCAACCCTAGCCATGCCCCTGGGAGGCCTGTCTGTCACCCTGACCTACTTTCCATGCTCCTTCCCTGCACCTTACCCCTGCTCCTACATCCCTTACCTCTGTCCTAGGCAGGGTGAGGATGTGTTCTCTCAAGATCACC